AGGTGGAGTTTACAGATCTGGATTCAAGCGTTTGGTGCCGTCCAGGCCCTAAACCCTACGGCCCTAAAGGCTCAGCTTGGCCCTGAACCGTCCCGTTTCTGCCGTTTCACCGCTGCCCCGCAGAAGCCCCTGCACTTGCGGCCCGCGACGTTAAAAGCAGAAGAAGGTCGAATTGCAAAGGATCGCAGCTGTACATGATGCTGGTGGTGCTGGTGCTGGTGCTGGTGGTGTTGCTGGTGGTGGTGGTGGTGGTGGTGGCGGTGGTGACGTGTGTGACGGTCGGGGTGGGGGTGGCGGTGGTCAGGGTGGTCACGGTGGTGATGGTGAAATTGGCGGTGGTGGTTCTGATCGTAGTGTTGTGGTGGAAATCGTGGCGGCAGTCGCAGTAGTAGCAGCACCCTCGAACAGCACTTTTTCGAACCTCAAACCCCTCACCTCCTCAAACCAAGAAGCCTGACAACCATAAACTCTAAACATCAAACGGTAAACTAGACCCTAAACCCTAAACCCCAAGCCGAGAAGCCCCTACAATCCCTGAAGCCCAACCTGACTTACCTGTCTACCCCCACACAGGTTTCAAAGCAACATCATTCCTCGGGCTTCCTTAATATACTTATACCATAATCTAAACCCCTAAACCCTAAACCCTAAACCCTAAACCCTAAAAGGAGTCCAAAACCCTGTGCTAAAGTTTGTCAAAGTCCATATGATGGAAGCTTTTGTAGCCCGCAAAGGAAACCTTATGAAAGTAACCCCCCAATAAAACCCTATTCTACGTATTAAGGCCCCTCCCTAAACCCTAAACCTAAGCCTTAAACCCAAAACCCCAAATTCCTAAACCCCTAAACCCCTAAACCCTAAATTCCTAAACCCCTAAACCCCTAAGCCCCCAAACCCAAAACTCCAAACCCGAAGCCAAGCTCCTCGCGCAGGTTAGAGAGGCACCTCTTTCATGGAACCTGGGGACTAAAAGATCGCCAGGAGGGCTTTCAGGCAGGTCCAGTTCGGCTCAATACAAGGGAGGGGTTAGGGGTTTAGGGGTTTAGGGTTTATAGGGGTTTCGGGTTTAGGGTTTAGGGGTTTTGGGTTTAGGGCTTAGGGTTTAGGGTTTAGGGTAATACTTAATTATCCCCTAAGCCCCAAGACCCTAAAGACCCTCTTCAGGCCGGCAGCTTCCTCTTGCAGGGTTTGCTGATTTTTGTCAGGCTTAGGGTTCCATTGTAGTTCCTTTCTTTGGCTTAACCAACTAGATATTAAGGATTGTAGAAGGCATCCCCAAAAAGGAACTACAATGGAAACTATAGGTACTATTCTCGGGTTCCTTATTATAGGTATAATATAACATACCCCAATACCCTATTCTGATTATTAAGGCCCTTGCATTGGGGTTTTGGGGGTTTAGGGCTAGGAAAGTTTAGGGTTTAAGGCTAAGGCGTTTGGGGCTTAGGGTTCAGGGTTAGCGCTTATCAAAATTTAGGGTTTCAGGGCTTGGGGCTTACGGCGATCTGTAGAGATTGGGGAAAGTTGACGGCTTTCGGGGTTGCCGTTTACGGCTATGGCGGTCGTCTTGGGGGGTGTGATGTGTATGCACCGTGAAGTATGAAGGTCCCGGCTAGGGTCTCTAAACTGCTATCTACAGTGCTCGAACAGATTCTTTAGTTTGCGGCTGGGAAAGCTACAGGTTACAGACGCTTTCATGGGCCCCTTCTGCCGCCCCAAAACCCAAACCCTAGACCGTTTCTTCAGCTTATGGATGCTGGGGCACGATAAGCTTGAAGCTTGAAAGTTGTTCGTTTCCAAAGGCATCTATATGTTCATTTAGGGTTCATGGTTTAGGGCTTTAGGGGTTTAGGGTCTAGGGTTTTAGGGATTTAGGGTCTAGGGTTCTATAGCGTCTCAGCGGCACGTTGGGAAGGTGAGCTGCTGAAAGCCCTAAGCTCTAAAAGGTTAAAACTTGTAAACCCTCGAGCCTGGCGCCCAAATCACATACCCGAAACTAAGGGTTTAGGGTTTAGGGTTTAGGGTTTAGGGTTTAGGGTTTAGGGTTTAGGGTTTTATAGACCCCGAGCCCAGTTTTGTTTTGCTGAAGGCCTTTATCGACAAGCGCTCGCCGACTTGGAAGCACAGCTGAGCAGCGCCGCTTTGCAGAGCGCGCTCATGCGCTTCAAAGCAGCAAGGGTCTCGGATTTAAGGGCTTAGGTCTGAAGGTTTACATAGGGATTAGTTTTTTGGGAGGCCCCCTCTAGGATGTATTTAGGACTTAATTAGGTGATTGTCCGTGGGTTTTGACCGGGTTAAATGAGGAAGTTGTGGGGCTGTTTTGTGTACTAAGATCTTGGTCTACTTCGAAGTAGGCAAAGTCTCTGCGGCATCCTTTAAGCCCTAGACCCTCAACCCTGGCAGTTTCTAGAGGAATGTGACTGGCGACTCTTGTTGCCTAAGCCCTAAACCCCGTCCGCACTGACTTCTTACAGAAACCCCGGAACCCTTACGCCCGAAACGCTAAACCCCTAAACCCCAGACCCCTAAACCTAAATCCTTAAACCCTCAACCCTAAACCCCCAACATCCGGCGTAGGGGTTGCCCACAAGCCCCAAACCCCAAACAGCTTTGGGGGTTTAGGGCTGGGTTTAGGGTGTATAAGCCCTACACCCCGAACCCCATAGCTTTAAAAGCCCTACAGCCATACACTTTAAAGACCCTATAGCCATAAACTTTTAAAACCCTAAACCTAAACCCTAAACCCTAAACAACAGCCCTAAACCCGAAACAAAAGCCCAAAACCCTAAAGGCCCTAAAGCCATGAAGGACACGGAATCCCAGATCCTTGGGCCGTCGTAGGAGTTCTGAACTTAGGAGTCTAGGTTCCCCGGTGGTAAAAAAAAGGGGCCTTAATGATTAAAATAGGGTTCCTGTTAAAGGGATCCTTGAAGGGTTCTATAAGGGATCTATGATAGGGTTCTATATTCGGGGCCTTAATAATTAGAATAGGGTTTAGGATCGATTATTATTATAACTCTAATAAGGAACCCCTCCCAAAACACGATTCTAATTATGGAGGGCCCTTACATTAGGCTCTGATTTTAGGGTTCCATCATTATAAACTGAAGAGCAGGACCCTAAAGACTTTACAACCGACACCTTAAACATTACATCCTACGCCCTAAACCCTAAATCCTACACCCTAAACATCACATCCTACACCCCAAAACCCAGAATCCTACACCCTAAACCCCACCTCCTACACCCTAAACCCTCCATATCCCCTACTCTTTAAAGGGGACACCGGGGAACCTAACCGTCGAAGCCACTGAGCCTCGACGCTCGGGGCGAGCGGCTTTGGAGGAGCCCCTCGTTGCCGGGAAAAGTGCCAGAGTTTTTGAGTTTGATATAGGGTTTAGGGTTTAGGGTTTAGGGTTTAGGGTTTAGTGTATATGGGTCTTTATAATTAGACTAGGGTTGCTTTAAAGGGATCCTTGAAGGGTTCTATAAGGGATGTGTGATAGGGTTCTATAGTAGGGGCCTCAATAATTAGAATAGGGTTCCTTTAAAGGGATCCTTGAAGGAGGGATCTATGATAGGGTTCTATACTAGGGGTCTTAGTGATTAGAATAGGGTTTCGGGGCCCATTATAAGGAACCCCCAAAAACAATATTGGTAATTAGTATGGCCCCTACATGAGGGTTTCGGGTTAGGGCTTAGGATTTAGGTCTTAGGATTCAGGGTTTAGGGTCTAGGATTTAGGGTTTAGGGAAGTTTAGGGTTTTTGGGTTGAGCTTCGGGTTTTAGGGTTTAGTAGCTGTAGAACTAAGGTATGCTTATGCTCCTAATGAAGGTGCTCCTAATTAAGGTGCCTGTATCCTTCCTAAGTCGTCCGTTCTTTAGAGTCTGGGGTATAAGGTTTAGGGAGAATGCCGGGACCAAGATGTAGGGTTTCGGGGCTAGGATGGTCCTTAAATTAAGGGTGTAGGGTTTTAGGGCTTAGGGCAGCGATGTCCTTTCGGGTGTGGGTTCAAGATTTGGGTCTTACGCTGGGCCCAAGGTTTTTGGCTGCTTGCTTTGATGTAAGACAGAAGGACCCCGCACGGGTCCCTGAATTTGGAGCCTTCTACCCTAAACCGCACATGCCGAAAACCTACAGCCCTGCACGAGTCCTAATTGAAACACAATCCCCAACCCCACCGATCCTCAGCTTCTGGAGCCGTAAACCCACAAGTCCTCGATCCCGAAACCACGAAACTCCGGATCCTAAAGCCCCAAAAGCTCACGACAACCTCCTAGAACCCTATGCATCGAACTGTCGAGCCTCAACATTGTAATACTGGGTTCTTGTCGAGGGCTTACCATAAATCCTCACTGCGGGAAGTTAAGTTGAATTCCCTAGAGCAAGAACCCAGTTACAGGGTTACGATTGCTCCCCCTTTGTGGTTAAACCGACAATATACAGTCACTCCTGATGCAAACTGTTCTTGCATAGTGCTTTATATAGGGCCCCAATGCCAAGATAGAAATCTATTGCATGCCTAGCTGGACTTATAGTGTGCCGAAGAGCAAGGCATCAACGGTTCAGGCGTTGTGAACTCCTAGTCCAGGCCCCTTACCCTAGAGCTTGCAGCTATGCGATGTGTTTTCTGCATACCGTTGTCACATCTGCCGCGGAATTTCTGCTCACGACCGCCGGCATATAGGCAATATGAATTTGGGTCTTTCGCACCATCCATCAGCGCGAAAGGCTTCAGTTTCTTCTCAGATCTTTCGACAGAGCACTGCTTTACACTCGAGTCCAACGGCACGGTTTGCTGCTTCGAGCCCTTGGGTAGGCTATGTGCTACTGAGCATCATTCTAGACATGATTATACTGTAGCGTGCAAGAAATCTTGCAGGAAGATCTCCCATCAGAACTAGACATTTTGCCAAACCTACCAGGTCTTTGGGGCCATTTTGAGTCTTGCTTACAGGGTTGTTCCGACCTTTGGCGCGGCCTGCAAGCTGCAAGCACCATGGTGTCGATGTCTCCCCTGCCTCTGTGACGCATTGATTTGGCTAGTTCTCTAAATGGGGGTCCCTTTGTCGGTCCAGGGTTTAGGGTTTAGGGTTTCAAACCTTATACAAAAAGACCCTAACAGGGACCCTAAATTTAGAGAACTGCCAATTTCGGAGTTTGGAAGCAGCGGTTTCTCGGGATTGGATCCGGGACACAGGGTTCGGTGGTTATCTGGCATCCGGAACACAGCCCGACTTTTCTAGGCCAGGATTGCTCAATGGCGGGTCTGGGGTAAGGGTTCCTTAAGTCAGGTTGTGGGAGTTTCCGCAGATAAGGGGTACCTTAATTTTGGGGGCCCTTATAGTTATAATAAGCGTCCTACTATTCAGGGTACTGTATTAGGATCTCTATTTTCGGAAAACCCCCATATAGCCCAATATGAAACGTAACATACCGAAAAAACGCAATGCAGTGTCAAATCCAAGGTTCTCACACTTTTTGGACTTCGGACACAGGTGCTTCTCGTTACCGTATGTCAGTCTGTTCTTATTGAAGAGATGCGAGATCATTCTAGGGTTTAGTCTTGAGGGGTTAGGGCTTACGCGGACCCTACAACACCGTCCTCTTTAGGGCTCCTGTTCGTGAATTCCTTACCTGCGTCCTTCAAAGGGTAGGCTATGTTGGTGTCAAGGTCGGGTTCCCGAAAGCCCAAATCCTGCCTTAAGCCCAGAAAACCTACGTAACGCCTCACTCTATTCTCCGTATACCAGTCCTGAAGCCCTGAACCCTACCTATAGTCTCCATTGTAGTTCCTTTTGGGGGATGCCTTATAAAATCCTGTAAATTTAATTGGTTAAACCAAAACAGGAACTACAATGGAGACTACAGGTAAACCCTAAGTCCTTAAACAGGTTGGCTTTAAAGTGTCCCGGTAGGGCTGAGGGCTGCGCTCGTCCAAGGAACTATCTGGGCCTTGTCGTCTATTTCGTGGTTCTGGTGGTGAGCATGGTGGCCGCCTACAGGTTTGGCAGCGAGCTTTGGGTTTTGGGATTCGGATATAGATTTTAGGGCCGCCTACAGGTTTTGCAGTGCTTTAGGGTTTAGAGTTTCGGGTATAGATTTTAGTACCGCCTACAGTTTTGGCAGTGAGCTTTGGGTTCAGGGTCTAGGGTTACTGGGTACAGATTCTTGAGCTGCCTACAGGTTTGGCAGTGAGCTTTCGGTGTAGGGTTTAGGGTTTCGCCTACAGGTTTGGCAGTGAGCTTTGGGTTTAGGGTTTTGGGTTCTAGTCTAGGTAGCATTTAGAGTTTAGGTCCGTGAACCCCGAACTCTAAAGCCCTAAAGCCCTAAAGCCCTAAACCCCAAACCCTAAAACCTTAAACCCTAAAAACCACCTTGTATTCATGTTGGCCCAACGACTGCTATGTAGCAACCCCTCCCACGTCAAAATATGTACATATGTATGTATGTACGTGAGTAAAAACCTACAAATCACAGGTTCAGCCGGACCCTCCGGGAAACCCCAGCCAAGCATCGTGGATGGTATTCCCGCCCCTGGGCAAGCGCGTGTGAAAACCATGTGATTCAAGCCTGTGACCCCTACAAACCTCGGCAGAACCCTTTCAGAAGCCTGCTCTAGAACCTTTCGAAACCCCCTAACCCCCCTAAACCCTAAGCTTTCCTAAACCCTGAACCGCCTTTTAGAAGCCTGCTCTAGAACCCTTATTAAAACCCCCTAAACCCCTAAACCCTATACTTTCCTACACCCTGAACTGCCTGCTGGAGCCCCCTGTAGAGCCCTCTAACGGTAATGGACCTGTCTGAGCTTGTCTTAAGCCCTAGATTAAACAACCTTCCTTCTTGTAAGTTCACTGAGACATCCAGAACCCTAAACCCTAAACCCCAAACCCTGTTCGACTCGTGGGGCCTTCTGTTTTATTGAATCTGTTTTGATCCCTGACACTCCCTGCATGGGCATAACGGACCGTACAGCCCAATCCGTGAGCCCCACCACCTAGGGCGCGTGAAGGCTTTCCGATGCTAAACTCTTGCACAAAGTTTTTGTCAGTTCGAGGGATCGTTGAGGCTGCGTTGCTGGGATGGCTGCAAGCATAAGAAAGCACACTATGTAAGGGCTCTTCAAGGGTTAGGGTTTAGGACACTAGGGACAGGTAGGGTCTTTCAGTTAGGGTTTAGTAACTTAGGGTTTGGGGTTTAGGATCTGAAGTTAGGGTTCGCAAAGTGTGTGCTTCTATTTCGCGGTTTCCCCAGGTCTCCATGGTGGTTCCTTTTTGTGGGTTCGGATCCTACCGGGGAACCGCAAAGAGGAACCACAATGGAGACTATAGGCAGAGTTTACCTTACCCCCTAGTAACCTACTTTCCTTTCATAAATTCATGAAAAGGTAGGTTGTGTAGGGTTCAGGTGGGGTTTAGGGTCTTAGGTCCTGGGATGCTAAGGGTTTGGATATCGTAGGGGCCTTAATAATCAGGAGAGGGTTTTGGTGTATATTATACCACAATCACAATGAGGACCCCTCCCCCCAAAAAAAGTATAGGTAAGTATTTAGGCCCCATTATATTAGATATTGGGGGTTTCTAGAGTTTCAGTGCCTGTAGGGCTTATCAGGACGATCAGGGCTTTGCAGAGGCTATGGGAAGGGTGCAGCTGCTTTCTCAAGGCTTCATCCCTAAACCCTAACCCTAAACCGCTAAACCCCAAACCCTAAAACCCTAAACCCTAAAACCCTAAAGCCCTAAACCCTAAAACCCTAAACCCTAAGCTTCATAATAAGTGCAGGCTCTCTCCCGATTGCCCTAAGGGTCCATGTGCCCGAATAGTATAGACTTTAACCTAAACCCACTACCTTAAAGGCCCAGAAGTCATATCGAACCCTGAGATCCCTTAAACGTTGTAAATGTAAACCCTGAACCCCAGTTTAGTGGTTTAGTTGTTACGGTTTAGCGTTCCCTAAACCCTCCCAGTGTAGGCAGCCCGTGAGCTTCCAACGGCAAGCCTTTTCCATCGGCTTGATTGCGGTGACGTGGTGGCTCGGCTCCCTCTGTTTTGAGGTTTGGGGCCTAATGGGCTCAGGATTACCGGTTCAGGGTTTAGGGTTTAGGGTTTAGGGTTTAAGGGTTCAGGGTTTAGGGTTTAGGGTCTCTGTTTTGAGGTTTGGGGTTTAGTGGGTTCAGGGCTTGGGGTTTAGGCTCTCTGCTGGGTCTAGAGTCTAGAGTGCTTCCGGGTTGTACAAATATGAACAGATCTCCTGAAATGCGAGTAGAACTCTAACTGATTCAGTGTTTTTCGCGACTTTGCTATGTATGCATGTATGTATGTATGTATGTATGTATGTATGTATGTATGTATGTATGTCAAAGTATGTATCGCAGGTATTGTTCTGCGGGAGACTTCCCCATAGTAGTAATTAAAGCCTTCATTCTACTATATAAAGTAAAGGTACATGGGACCCTTTGGGTTACACACCTCGTGGTGATTTGTTCCACTTCCATGCAGGAACATTGGCACTGCCATACCTGTAGTCTCCATTGTAATTCCTTTTATTGGTTTAACCAACTATATATATTAAGATTATATAAAGGTATCCCCAAAAAGGAACTACAATGGAGACTATAGGTATGTTCTGGGATGTACAATCCCTCTTTGTCAAGGGGTTTTGGAGTCCTTGCGAACCCTAAACCCTAAGCCCTAAACCCTAAACCCAGAACCAAAAGCGAAGGTTCTATATCCTCCGCTTCTCCATTACATACCCGTGGACGCCCTGGTACGACGAGGGCTTGAACCTCTTCGATGTCGCATACGCCGACGTCATTTGGGGTGGCCGCCTGTCTACCCATAGAACAAAACCGTATGTCCTGCATATACCCTACACGTCATACGGCGGGCTCAGTAAGTTAGACAAGTCTCCTGAAACCCTATAATACACGGGCCTAACTGATTAGAAATATAGTATAATGGGCCCCTTATTAAGGCCCTACTATTTTGGGGGGTTCCTTATTAGAAATATAGGTATAATGGGCCCCTTATCAAGGCCCCTATATTAGACCCTTAGCCCCCTCATTTATGGATGCTTCATTAAGGGCGGGGCTTCCTTGTGCCCTGGCTAATAACGGCTCCCGGCTGCAACGTCCTCAGCATCCTCCAGTTCCTTCTGTTTAGGGTTGGCGGTTTAGGGTTTAGGGTTTAGGGTTTAGGGTGTAGGCATCAAAACAGCCCAAAAGCCTTTTAAAATAGGGCCTTTGAGCCCAAAAGCCGCAAAAAATATGAGTCCGTCGAGGGTCAAGGTAATAGAGGCTTCTACATGTCGGGAGTTTACGATTTTCATGGGTGACGTCAGCTTTGGAGCAGTTACACTGCGGGCCTCCACAAGTTGCTAATACTTAGGGAAACGATAACGGCCGCAAGCAAAGCATCACAGTGAAGTTCCAAAGCGGCAAGCCCTCAACCCTCGATCCCTGAAGCCCTAAACCCTAACCCCCAGACTGCCTTTAACCCTACCCCCGCAAGCCCTAAACCCTATACACCCTAAAGCCCTAATGGCCTATCGCCCCTAAAAACCCCTCAGCTCTAAACCCCTCAACCCTAAACTAAGCCCGTATTCCTCGTCCCACGTGCATGTCCCCGAGCCCCAACTCTTTGCGACCCCGAAGCCAGGGGCGTTAAGAAGAAGAACGCGGCTTCGGGTTGATTGTAGTACCTACCCTAAGGCTCCATGTACCCATATAGTACATACTTAGGCCTTAAAGTACCTATATAGGGACCCCTTTAAGGCCTCAGTATCTACTATAAAGGTACATGGAGCCTTTGGGTTCTTTTTTGGTTATCCAAATGCATACTTTCTCCATCCTAACCATAAAACTGGTCAATCAACAACAGGTACTACAATGGAGACTATCGATATGATTAAAACAAGGAACTCTATAAGGAATCCTATTAGTAGTTGTTTGGGTTTCGATAAGAGGACTTTGTGAACATCTGGGTAGGAGCCCTTTGTCAGAAGGATCCCACTGCTTGAGGCCCATGTTCGGGCTCCTAGGGTTTCGGGTTTACGGTTTAGGTTTAGGGTTTAGGGCTTAGGATTTTCGTGAAGCTCCAATGCTGGTATTTGGATTATTGGGTGTTTGGGCAGGGTTTCGCAAACAGACTCCATCGCCCGCGCAAACTCGTATAATGTAGGGGCCCGAACGAATAATTAGAACAGGGTTATGGGGCCCATTATACTACTCAAATAGTCTACAGCCCAGCGCCCCCCCTAAACCCAAAACACTAAACCCTAAACCACCCTAAACCCTAAACCACCCTGAACCCAAAGCCCAAAAACCCTCCCCACAGTTTGACCTGAGGAGCTTCCGGCATTTGGGGCCTGTCGCAGCGACTACTGACCTGGGCCATCGTAGCCACGGTGTGGACGATTGAGCCACACCTGAACCTGAGGGTGTTAGTATAAGGGCATGAACCTGAGGGTGTTAGTATAAGGGCCTAACAGATTACCAATATTAGATTGGAGGTTTTTGTATTAGAATTATAGTATAATGGGCCCCAAAACCCTATGAAGGCCCCTATATGAGGGTCGAGGGTGTGGGGTCTTGGATTTAGGGTTTACCTGTAGCTGAAAAAGACCGACTTCTTTAGGGCTCCTGATTATGGTTTCTATGTATAGTTCCTTAAAGAGGTAGGTCTTTTGGGCCCCAAGTATGGTTTAGGATGTAGGGTTTAGGGTTTCGGGTCTGGGTTCAGAATGTCGGAGAAGGGTTTAGGGGAGTAGTACGGCAAAAGTGTCACACTGCAGAGTGCTTTGAGAGGTTTCAACTATACTCCCATGACCCTAAGGGTTCATGTACCCAAGTAGTATATACTTTGGCCCCAAAGTACCTTTTCTAGGGATTACTGTACGGCCAAAGCACATATACTGGACCCGTAAGGTTATGGACTCAAGGTTTAAAGGGTTTAGGGTTGAGGGGGATTTAGGTCCGAAGCAAGCGGCATGGTCATGGTCAATGCTTTTTTCGACCTAGGGCCATTGTCGGCACTGTGTTATGCCCCCTAAGCCCTATAAGCCCTCCACCTATAGTCTCCATTGTAGTTCCTTTTTTTGGTTTGCCAGTTTTATGGTTAAAACAGGAACTACTATGGAGACTATAGACCGTAAGCCCCCAAACCCTGGGGTGTAGCTCGGGGTTCTAGCGCGCAGGCAGGCTTAGCCCCTGCATGCAGTGCTTGAGTCGTGAGGAATTGGAGTGGGGATCCTATCCCGGAAACTCTGCGGTGCGGTTGAGCCCGAACTCGCCCGTAACTAACCCTAACTCAAACACACTTAGAGCTCTAAACGCCCAAAGCCCCATGCCAGGAAAGCCCCGCATACTATCAGCTGTTCGGCCTTTTCGGAGCTATGTCTGGAAGCCGCTAGCATGGATTTCTGGGCTTGGGGATAAAGTGGCTTAGCCCAGGATTCAAGGTGTTGTTCGTTTTAAGCTTCTATGGTCTGGGATGCTCAGTTGGGAGTTTTGTATTTCACCCAAAGGCTCCATTAGTTCTTTAATTTGAAGCATTTAGGCTCCTATAATAATAAGGTATCCAAAACCAAGGACTACAATGCAGATTATAGGTAGGATGCCTACTGGTGTTTTTTGTAGCCAAGGTCGCGGGGTTTCCGAAATTTGTATGTGGCACAGGGCGGTCTTCGCAGGTGTAAGTCAGGTTCACTGCTCGTCGTACGGATGTGCAGAGGGATCCCAGAGGTGTTGGGGTGGCGTCTAGATTCAGGGTGTAGGGTTTTGGGGTTATACGCCCCTAAACCCTACACCCTGAACCCTAAACCCTAAACCGTAAGGTCTTTGTGTAAAGGGTTCAGGGGTCGGTGTTTGGTGTCTACCTTAGCCTACCGAAACCTACTTTTTTTGTAGGGTCCCTATAACTTCCTTACTAATCAGAACCTACAAAAAAGTAGGGTTTGGTAGTTTAAGGTAGGGTTTCAGGGGTGTCCTCCCAAGCCAATCCTGAGCTTTGGAAACCTCACCCTGAGCACCCGTGTAACCCCTAAGCCCAGAGGGCGCATGTATGCATTGATGTGTATATATATATATACATACATATGTATATACTTATTTATGTGTTTGAATTCATGTATTTATGCTTTGTTTACCTTTATGGAAGTTGGGCCCAACAGAGCATCATTATTTTGCTTGTTGGGACCTAGTTCCAGAATAGAAGTATGTGTGTGTATACATATATATATATATGTATATATATATATATGTATATATATATATACACCCTCTGGGTAATAAAACCCTTAAGCCCCGACCTCCACGCGCTAAGAGCCACTGGAGCCCAACTCTTTCATCATGCCCAGCGATACCTTTGACCCTAAGCCGTATACGTTGAGCCCTAAACCCTAAACCCTAAACCCTAAACCCTGAACCCTGAGCCCTAAACCAAACAACCGTCTGCATTGGACCCTACACCCCATAAGCCCCATACCCTAAACCCCTAAACCCTAAACCCTAAACCCTAAGCCGCATCCAGGCTACTGCCTGATTCCTTTCCATTCCCGGCCTGCGGATAAGGCATTGCCAGGATTGGCGTCTTTGGGTTTAGGGTTTATTTAAGTCTTGGGTTTAGAGCTTAAGTGCTAGGACATTTTCAGGTGGGTAGTTACCGTTATCTATATACCTCATAGCAGCATTATAGAAGCCCTATATACCCTAAACTCCCCACCTGTAGTTTCCTTAACAAGGGTCAGGATTTAGCTTTGAGGGTTCAAGGTCTAGTTTATGGCTTGATTGCGGTCTAGGGTTCGGGGCAGGTTTCGGGTTTAAGTGTAAGGGTATCGGGGTTAATTAACCGAAAGTCCAAGTCTTTGAGTCAGTGTCTTCCGGATTGCAGTTTAGGTAGGGTTTGGGGTTCAGGGTTCAGGGTTGTTTTTTTTCGAGGCTCCTTTTTACCGCAGCCCCTGCGGTTGAGGGTTGCGTTCAGGGTTTAGGTCCTAAACCCTAAACCCCAAACCCCGGTGGCTGGTGGTATTTCTCGGAGATTACTGCCGGACTTGTGACCAGGTCGCAAATGTCGCCACACTGGGGTTTTATATAGGGTTTAGGGTTTAGGGTTTAGGGAGGGGCCTAAATAATTACCAAGACTGTTTTGGGGGTTCCTTATTATAAGTATGGTATAGTGGGCCCCAAAATCCTGTTCTAATTATTAAGGCCCCTACATTACAACGAGTGTAGGCTTCGGGTTTTCGGGTTTGGCTATTCAGGCATCGCCCGGCCACAACAAGAATCGAAGCTCGGCGAAATCACACAACCCACACTGATGTGGCTTCGACATAGGGATTGTCATTAGTTATGCTGATTTCTCGAAGTGATAGCTCTACAACAGCAGCGAAACTAGCAAGCAAGAGCGCAGCTAATTCCTCTAGCAGGCTCTAGCAAGATCTGCAAACCAGGGTCCAAGCACATAATAATCGGATAGTCCTGCCCGATATGGACACTATCCGAAGACCAGACACCTGGTCAGCATTATATATGTCTTCGAGGCATTAGGGTAATGAACGGAAATTGCTTCAGGTTGAGCCGATTTGGGGATGGGGTGAACCCCAGCAGGGATAGGAAATTACAGCATGCCCCGAAGCCTGGATCGTAATCGGATGAAACCATAATAAGGCCCTAGACTCTGAAAGCTTTCCAAGTCACAGGTGCCAGCCTCGCTTGCTTGCTTCACCTTGCTGGCCTTCTGCTGTTTCCCGGATCTTATCCTAAACCCTAAACCCTAAACCCCTAAGCCCTCAACCCCTAAACCCTAAACCCCTAAACCCCGAAACCCTCAAGCCTAAACCCTAAACGCCTAAACCCCTAAACCCTAAACCCTAAACCCTAAACCCTAAAACCTAAACCCCTCAACCCTAAACCTCCTTCGGGTTTCCTGGGGGGCGGGGACTGCGAGTTGACACATCTTTGGCCTGAGGGTCCTTGCAGACGAAGTCAAGGGTTACTGTAGGGGTCCCTTTAAGGGCTACTCCAGGGGGTACTATAAGGGTTCCTTTAGGGGTTTTGGGTTAAGGGTTTAGGGTTTGGGGTTGCGGGGGGTTAAACCGGATTCCCGGAAGGCCAAATTACCTCACAATCAGAGGCCCAGGGTTTCGGGGTTCCTCGTGTCTTTTAGTGGAGTTGTATTTTTTTATATTCACAGGTGTGTATTTATGTTCTTACCATACCGTAGTGTACATATATATAGATAGATAGATAGATAGATAGATAGATAGATAGTTAGATAGATAGATAGATAGATAGATAGATAGATATATAAGTATATCACACTCGAATGCTGTAGTATAGTGTATCATTTCCAGATTTGACATGCTATGAAATTACCTTGTATGTGTCTCAGCCCTCAGCGGTACAGGTATGATGAAGGAGGATATGGTGTAGGGTTTAGGGTTTAGGGTGTACAGTCTTTGCAGATGTGGTGTGGAGCATGAGGAAGAGGTAGCTACAATGGAAGGTCGTCGTGTTGGGTTGCCTGGATCGCCGAGGTGTATGGATGCTACCCCACACCACCACCATGAGACTGGGAAGTTTTAGCCATTCTTTATCTTTTTGTTCGCTCCCGGTTTAGTAAACATAGCTTCGGCAAAGGGGAAGGCTTTTGAAAGCCCAGCTCTAAGCATCCCTGAAGTGGAGGAGGAGCTTAAGCTGGTGGCTTTGGCTCCTGCACGCGTGCTTGATCGTGCCGAAGTTCGGCCACTGTGGCCCCCAGATGGATCGTGGAATGCTGTACTTTGTGCTCGCGATGTTGAGCTTCGCGACCCACATCACCTCGACCTGCAGTGCGATGCCGCAGTCGGATTCTTGCAAATACAATTTGCACCTTCTTGTGCACCGCACATGCGGTTTTTTCTGATGCCGAACCCCAACGCGAAAGGTGCGCATAAAGAGCAATCAGGCTTTAGCGTTAAGAACTACTCTGTGTTATTGTGCCGCGAGTTGATGAGCTTTCGCGGCATTTTCCTTATATCCGACGTCGCTAGATTTCGACCACTTCAACCCGACGTGGATCCGTGATTTACAATTTAATTGCCTACTTGCGCGCCTCTTCCCACTTCCGCATTCTATACCCATTTCCTAAATCCTAACCCCTTTTCGGTCTCTGAGGACTGTCAAATCTCTATCTCCGTGGATGTCTTGGCCTCCTCTGTACTGACATGCGTCTTTGCCGCCCAGCACGTATGCGTCCCGGAGCTGCTGCTGTGCCCGGGCTTCAGGAGCCTGTATATATATATATATATACACATGTATATATATGTATATAGAGTTAGCTGTTTATTTATCTTTGTTTGATTAATTAGCTAGCTATTTATTTGTGTATGTATATCTATACATATAGAAAGGGGTAACAGCAACAGGGTGTTGCATTTTGGAGATTGTAAGCTTGTTCTGACCCCTGTGGGGGCTTGATTGTATGTGGGCTTCAACGTCAAAGGTTTGAGATAGTCTGACTATCTCATGTATTCTTTGTGGTTGTTTGTGTGCTTGTGTGTATGTGGGTTTTGCGGCTTAGTTGACGCTGCGAAAATTTGCGATTAGCGCTCGAGGTTGCAGCCTTTCCACTGTCGGTTTGTGGTAGAACCTCTGTATTAGGTGAGGGCAAAACACTGGCCAACGTATATTATAATGGATGACTGCGAGTGATGTTCTTCCAAGTCCTTTTGTAAGCCCAGTCTTCTTTTGCATGCGTTTCTGCTTTGTGGTGTCATGCTCCGTTGCTTCCTTGCTTTAGTTGTTGGCTTTGTCTATTCCGATCCCGTCAACACATGTTGGTGTCACTGCAGCATGGTCCTGCATGCTGACGTTGAAGAGTGGATGGTGCCAGAAATCAGAAATGCGCAGATGACAGCACAATTGGCAGGGTGAGAGTGTGCAGAAGGCGTTTTTTCCGGGGAAAAACGATTTGCCTTCTTTTAGCTTCCTTTGGCCTCTTTGCTTGGCCCAGTCTTCATTTCGTTTGGGACACTCATGTCATTGCGTGCCTAGGGTTTTAGGACTTTAGGATTTAGGTTCCCTAAACCCTAGACCCAAAAACCCTAAACCCTTAGCTTCGTTCGGCTTCTACTGGCTCCCGGTATTAATTCTTTTTGCCGGCCGACGGCTTGCCTCAAGTCTTACGTTCTGCTGGCTTCTTTCAACAAGGTTATAGGGTTTTTGCTGGTTTAGGTTCTTAAGCTATTTAAACTACCATAATGGGGATCTACAGTGAATTAACTTCTTTCTGCCCTCAAGAAGCAAGTATCACTTGCCTTTGCCTATTTGCCCCGTCTCCCTCTTCTCCCGTGATTGTATATAAAGCCCTAAGCCCTAAACCCAAAGCCCTAGAACTCTAAACCCCAAACCCTGAACCCTTAACCCCAAAAAAGCTATTCGAGCCCAGAGGTGCTCTACATCCCACTTTGATATGAAGCCCAAACCCCCTCAACCTGCCATACCTACCTTACTGGGCTTCATTATAAGGGGATGTATATGGGATATCCGGATCCGAATTTTTGCTTATGTGCTTTTTTGGGGCTATATGCAGAGGACCTGCCATATCTATCGCCCCGGGCCCTGAGAACGCTTCAACCGCAACCTGCAAACTGAAGCCCACGGCAGCTCCACTCGGCATTTCAAGCCCCCGAACCCCGGAATCCCTGTGACCCCGAACTCCAAATGACCCCGAAACTCCAAAACACAGAGAGGTTTAGGGTTGAGGGTTTAGGGTTTAGGGTTTAGGGTTTAGCGGACATCAACATACTTCTTTTGTGTGCCATGTACCAATCTCGCCATCGTATGTGCTTTATTTGAGCCCGAAAGTAACTAATTAAATGGGAACATCAAGGCCGAAGTACGTAACATATGAGTACATGGACCCTAAACCCTAAACCCTAAACCCTAAACCCCTAAACCCTAAACCCTAAACCCTAAACCCCAAGGGAACCCAGGGATTCCAGCCGGGCACCAAGGTTCCTAAACCCTAAAGCCCGCAAACCCAAAAGCCTAAACCGAAACCCTACCCCCTAGAGAAACCCTAAACCTGAAACCCGAACCCCCCAAAACCCTAAACCCCAAAATCCTACAGAGATCACTTAAAGGAACCCATAAGGGAACCCTAAAACCCTAAAATCTAAACCTTAAACCCCAAAACCCCAGAAAGCGATCACTTACAAGAACTCATAAAGGGAACCCCCATAGTTCCCTTTTTTTAAGGCCCAAAATCCTAAACCCTAAACCCTAAACCCTAAACCGAGGTGGACGGTGCTGGTCTTTGTCGCCTCCCCGGGCTTCGTCTTGGGCTGCGTCTGCGGCTTCTACCAGCATGGACTCAGGCCGGTATTTTAGGGTTTAGGGTTTAGGGTTTAGGGTTTAGGGTTTAGGATTATACTATCTTTGTAAGAAGGAGCCCCCCCAATAGTGCATATTATACTCTATTTATAAGAAGGAACCCCAAATAGTATAGGTAGGCGGGAATATTATACAATATTTATACGAAGGAACCCCCCAAATAGCCTAGGTAATAATTTAACACTTTAGGGTGTAATCTGCTCTGCTCTCCTTTAACAGAGGAATCTTGTTGCGGTGTTCGGATACAGGTTTCGCCGCGGTCTTGTAGGGTCTAGGTCGAGGAGGGATCTATTGAGTTCCTGCAGACCTCTCCACTTAGTGCATGTTTGTAGTATCTGCTCACCAAGACGATTGGGAACGAACGCTGGCCACAGATCCAGGCTAGACTGGTATTGCTAAGCCACGGACAGTTCTTCCGCGCCCGTCGAGGCTTCGTAGGCACACTCCACAACAATGAAATTTCAAGCACGAAGCTGAGAGGGCGGGTGAAGTCAATGTTATTCGGGTCTTGGTGAGTGTATATAGCCGTTCACTGTAGAGGGCATTTGGATTATGTATTAAATATTAAAGCTCCTTCACGAAGCTAAACCCCTACATCACCTGCAATCAGGGGTCTACACCCCGAGTACCTAATCAGGCCCTTAGGGTCGTTAATCTGTGATATATGATACAATGGTACTTGGGGGGGGGGGGCTTTAGGGGCTTTAGGGTTTTGTCGGGCATACTGTCTACAATAAAGAAACCTAAAGAATTCCCAATATCATTCTTAGGGTTCCTTATTATAACTATACTATAAAGAGGCCCAAAACCCTATTCTAATTATTAAGGCCCTTACAGTAGTAACATGGAGGTCTGAACTATTGGTAGCGCTACCCGCTTGCATTTTCTATGATCGCCCCGAAGAGGAAACTTAATCAGTCAGGCTCCTATATGGGGGGCTGATCAAACTGATGGGCCCTTTTTTGGGGTCCCTTTAAGGGATCTATAGGGCTCCCTTAAAGAATCACCCCCTAAACCCGAAACCCTAAACCCCTAAACCCTAAACCCTTAGACCCCTACCTGTAGCCGAAAAGACCTACTTTTTTAGCGTTCCTTATTATGGTTTCTATATATAGCTCCTTAAAAAAAGGTAAGTCTTTTCGGCTACAGTCAAACCTTAAACCCTAAAGCCCTACAGGGCCGTATACCCCAAGACGCGGGAGCCCCTGGCCAGGTCCACCCTTGTGACATTCATCCAAAGAGTCGTCTCCAAGCTTGCCGGCTCGTCTCACTCGGGATGGATGAATCTGGGGCCATCTGGCGGTTTGGGGTTTAGGAGTTTAGGGTTTAGGGTTTAGGGTTTAGGGTAGGATTCAGGGTTGAATTATGGATGAATCTGGGGCCATCTGGCGGAATCTCTTTGGGATTCAGGGTTGAGGGATTGATGAATCTGGGGGGATCTGGCGGAATCTGTTTGAGAATCAGGGTTGAGGGAGTTTAACAGTTTGTGGACAGCATATGTTTAGGTTTACCTATAGTCTCCATGGTGGTTCCTTTTTGTTAACCAAATACCTACCTTAGGATCCTAAACATAAAAACGGGTCAACCAAAAAGAGGAACTACAATACAATGGAGACTATAGGTAGGTTGAGGGTTTCCCAGGTAACCCAATACCCCTTAATCAATTAATCAAGGAATATTCCTTAAACTATATGGGCCTTAATATTATGATTTCAGCTATATTCCTTAGAGTAGAAGCCCAAAAGTTGGAAACCCGACAGCCTCAATCATTAAGAGTAATATATAGGGAATCCCAGCACTATTTGTCCTTAATCCGGTTTCCAACTTTTTGTGGTCTACTATAATTCCCCTAAACCCTGAACCCTTTAAGGTCCATTCCTTAATTAAGGAGTATTGGCCTCTTTGGGTTATGGAGTTCAGGGTTCCGAGGGCTTTGGGTTTGTCAGGGTTTCGTAGTAAGGGTTTAGGGTTTAGGGTTAAGGGTTTAGGGTTTAGGGTTTAGGGGTTTAGGGTTTAGGGTACTACAGGAGGGGTACCCACGAAACCGTTGTGAAAATGCTGGGTTTAGGGTGTAGGGTATGGGGTTTAGGGCTTAGGGCCCCACATCATCAGGCTGGTTCAAGATGGATGATGCTTTTGGGACAAGCTTGCCATGGAAGCTTCCTTCTTGAGGAAGAGTCGTGTGAGATATAATTGGGATATTGGGCTCCTTATGTGAATGTTTAAGCTCTTCAGCGAGATAGGGTCAGTAGATGTCAAGAGGTTTAGGGTTTAGGGCTAAAGCATACGCCCTAGACATCGTAAGCCTGATGATAAAAGCCGGATCGCAACCCTGATCGCATCCCTTACCCTAAGGGTCCAAGTACCTAATATTCATATACCCTCCCAAATAGTAACCTACATAACTACTATCCGAAACCTAAGTACATGATTATTGGGTCCTTTGGACCCTTAGTGTTATATAGCAACCGCGCAAGATGGCACGTGCAAGGTACTGGCGGTCCACCACCGACTACCCCATGGCCTGCAGACAGCTTGTGGAGGTAGTCGGCGGGGAAGCAGCCATCAAGGAGCGACCGAGAGGGCCAAGGGACTAAAGGAGGGACCCTTAAAGGGACCCTTGAGGTTATATAGGGGCTTTATGAGACTCTATATATATATATATATATAAGGGGTATATAAGGTGTATATAGGGTATTTGGATTAGGGGTCCCTTCTACTGTCCCTTAAGAGGGCGGCCTTGGGATTCGGGGATGTACAGGATCCTAAACCCTTTCAAACCTGTCAACCCGAATCCTTCTATAAGGGAATTAAGGAATATACCTTACATTGTATGGTCCTTAATAGGATGATTTAAGGTATATTCCTCAATTAAGGGGCATTTGGGTTCTCTGGGAAATCCCTCCCTCCTGTTTGTAGGGGCACGACAGTGAGGTCGAGAAACTTGGAACATGGATTTTGGATGAGCAGTCCCTATACTCTACCCTAAGGGCATCAGGATAATGCTGTTCCGACTTTCTGGCTTCTACAAAACACAGGGTCTCGAGCTTGGGGCTTAGAGTATAGGTTTCTATTAAACCCTAAAGATATATATATATATATATATACCCATTATTAGGGACCACGTATAGCTCAATTTGAGGGTGCAGGAAGGTTCCTGGTCCAGGATCTGGTGTGCAAGAGCCCTTTGCAGAGCGAAATCCCGAAAACGCAACAATCCCTCGTCTCTATCCCTGAGGGTCCAAGTACCTAATAATCATATACTATTATCCCAAATAGTAACGGACATAACTACTATCCGAAACCCAAGTACCTGATTATTGGGTCCTTTGGACCCTTGGGGTATGCCCGTACTATCGAGACATCCTAAAGCTTGATCCCTAAACGCCCTTTATGCAAAGCCTTCAAACCCTATGCGCGCATGAGCAAGCCCTAAGAAGCACTATGCAGCCCTGTTAATTACGACGCCCTTCTACAGAAGCCCATGCATCGCACTATCCTAATCCTAATCTGTATCGAACTTCACAGGATTCTGACAACGTCTTGTGCGTTGGTTGCGGCCGGGGAGCGGAGCTTTCTTTCATTCGCAGCTTGCTTGGGTTCCCACGGTTTAGGGTTGACGGTTTAGGGTTTCGGTTTGAGGGTTTAGGGTTGAGGGTTGAGGGGAGTTCAATGTGGTCCCAGTTTGTGTTGTTCGGTTGTTATTGATTTGTTCCCTAACGGCGCATGTGCCCTAGTATATACTTTGGCCCCAAAGTACCTAAATAGGGACTACTTCAAGGCCAAAGTATATACGGTCGGGGTACATGGACCTTTCGGTTTTGATCTCAAGGTTTTTTCCAGGGTGCTTTATACGATTTTGTCTTTGTAGTGGTTCTATAGCATTTTGCAGGTTGATGTTAGGGGTTTGTTCGGTTTCGATCAAAAGGCCTGAATGCTGTGTGTATACTGATTCTAGTATAGGTTGTCATGCGGACAACATGGGGTGGTATTGTTACACACTGCTCAACCCTTCGACTATTTGGGTTTCTGTTTGGGGTTTGAGGGTGTTGGTGTTTTCGGTGGTTTTGTCTTTCGGGTTGGGGGTAGTCGGGGGCTATGAGGGCATGGGGTTCAGGGCTTGTGGGGTTTAGGCTTTAGGGCTTAGGTTTAGGATTTCGGCTCGGGTTTAGGGTTCAGAGCCTAGGGGTGCGGTCAGAGTTGATATGGTTTCGGGCGCAGCAGAGGCACCAAGTATGGGCCACGACGTATCGTCGGCCTGGACAAGGAGCCGCTTCGGGCTGCGGGGTTTTAGGTTCCTAGAGAACCCAATACCCTTATTCAAGGAATATACCTTGAATTTCAGAGGCCTTAGTATTATGATGATTTAAGGTATTTTCCTTAATTAAGGGGTGTTGGGTTCTTTGGGTTTTAGGGCTTGGGCTTTTGAGCTTCAGGGCTTTGGGTTTCGCTCTTCTTGGGGTTTTAGGGTTTGGGAGTTTGGGCCGTAGATCAGACTTGCACCTTTCGCCATTAAGACTGCACGCCCTGGAGATTTGTAAAACTCCGCCCGAGACGTAATATAGGGGCCTTTATACTGACCTATACTATTTTGGGGGTTCCTGGTTTTTACGGTATAAATAAACGCGAAACCTTATTCGAATTATATATTAAGGCCCTATATTAGGCCCGAAGCAAAGAACAAGCCCAAGAGCAGTCCATTGTGCGAAGGGTGACTATTTATCAGTGTTTAGGCTTGATGTTTCAGGATTGTGGATGCGCCTTTGGGGTTTAGGGTTCAGGGTCTAGGGTGGGGCTTTGGTGTTGTAGGATGTTTCCACTTTTAGTTCTTGAGGAGTTTATCGGTTTTGCGTCCAGGTTTAGGGAGCAGTCCACTGTAGCAAGGCGGATGCCGGAATGCCAAAGACCCCAGAGAAAAGATGTCCCGGACCCCAAGAGCTTATATAACATAGGGGCCTTAATAATCACCTATACTGTTTTGGGGGTTACTTACTATAAGACTATAAGTATAGTATACTATACCCCAAGCACCCTAAACCCTAAACCTTGAACCCTAAGGCTGCAAGAATAGATGTCCCAGACCCCAAAAGCTTAAATAATATAGGGGCCTTAATAATTAGAACAGGGTTTTGGCACCCAGTATACCATAATTATCATAAGGAACCCCCCAAAACCCTATGCTGATTATTAAGGCCCCTGCATTACAACACCTGAGGCCCTTCATCTAAACCCTAAACCCTAAACCCTAAACCCTAAACCCTAAACCCTAAACCCTAAGGGTGTTCAGGCTCTAAGCCAGCTAATCCCCAGTCATCCCTGAGGGCCCGCTCAAAGCCACAGGAGGTTGCGAGCGCAACTGGCGTGGAGACGAAGGCCTAAACCCCCTCAGCCCTAAACGGTGTTTAGGGGGTTCTGGTGCAGGGCATCGGGTTTAAAATGGCTTTGGGATTCGGGTTTAGGGTGTACAGGTTACAGTAGACGCCTCAACAATTGGAACATCATCATCCCTCAGGTCGGTACGGCAAAGTTCAGGTTAAGATCGCAAGAATCCTAGGACGATTTGTCCGAGAGTCCTAAATCCATGTTCCGAGTTTCTGAGGTCTGCTGTAATAAGGTTTACGGCCTTTATAGGAGTTCCGGTGTCATATCCCATTGGGATTAAGCTCATGGCGCTAAGGGTTCAGGAGTTCATGGCTTTGGGAGAATATGAAGATGAGGGTGGGTGGGAAGTTTTCTTTTTTTATATTTTTGTGTGCGGTGGGGGGGGGGGNNAGCCCTAAGGGTCCATGTATCTAAATGTTACAGACTTTGGCCGCAAGGTACCAATACAGGACCGGACCAAAGACAAGCCCCAAAAGCGGGCTTCTGAGCCTCGAGGCTAGAAACTCCCTGAAAGTTGGGCTGGCTCCGGTTTGAGTTTGGATTTGTTGGCTTACGGGGGGCAGGGTTCAGGAGTTACGGTCGTCTTCTGGTTTTAACCTTCGGGGTGAAGGCTTAATCCCTCAATCTTAAACTATGCAAGCCTTCCTGTAGTCATTAAGCGCACTATATCGTTGACTTCTTGTAGTAACCCTTTAAGCCCCTCCAACTTCAACAGATACCTCCACCTCGTCTCAGGCGGCGCGGGCCGAAAGCTTTGCTTCAGGAGTTAATCGCACCTCGGTTTAGGGCTTATAGTGTATTATGGCGTTTAGGGTTAAATCTTCTCAAAGTACCGCCTGATCAGGGTTTCGGATCTTGTCTAGGCGCTAGTTAAAAAACTGTTTTATTGTGATGACAACACTTACAGCTTACAACCCTGATGGAAGTATGCATGGCCCGTAGCCTTGGGAGCAAGCCATACTTGTACAGCTACTTGTAAGTACCCAGAGAATCCAATACCCTTATTTAAGGCATATACCTTACATCATTATATTAAGGCCCCAGTAATTTAAGGTATCTTCCTTAATTAAGGGCCCTAGGCAGAGCTGTTCCTATTGTTCTTGAAGGAAGCGGCAAGGTTAGTCTGGGGGCCCTAAGTAAGTTTCATTCCAAAGGTGTTCTATGACGGTTTTGGGTTCAGTCTCTAATAAAACTAAAGTTGATATGGTTTACATGTATCTTAATGTTCTGCGAACTGTAGACGTACACGGAACGCGGAGCAGTCCATGAATATGCCGACCATTGCAAGGGAAGACATCTAGCCGAACAACGCATGACGAAGTAGAGGTGTAGCTCCTTCAAGGACGGACTCTTCGAGTTTTCTTCTGGTTTACCCTGCTTGTGAGGCCAGGCCCTTACCAACCCTGAACCGTATCCCACAAGCAAAAACGCCACATAAATTCTGACCCGCAAACTTTCCTTTCAGAGCCAGTTACTTAACATGTAGCTTACCCTGCAACCCTAAACCCCTAAACCCTAAACCCTGAAGCCCTAAACCCTGCACCCCAAGCCACTAAACCCTCGGGGTTTTTCCTCCGGGGCCTCAGGCCTTGAGGTCCAGCCCTTAGTAGAACCCAGTACCCCCTTACAGAAACCCCATAGAAACCCTTATCTATCCCTTTAAGGAGCCCGTTAAGGTATATCCCTTAATTAAGGGTTTGGGGTTCTCTTCTGGGCCAAGGCATCCTCCCGGGCGAGTTCAACAAGATCTTAGCCACTCGGCTCCCCAAAACCGCTTCCGGTATGCATGGTCCTTGGTGTCGTCGGGTTGCACGGGCCGCCGCTGGGCGGTCGCGATGCACATTCCTTCCGATTCACATTCCTTATTGGCCTTCAGTTCTGGGCCATCATCATTACCAACATCATCATCAGCACCTACCATCATCATCATCGTCATCGTCATCGTCATCATCATCATCATCATCATCATCATCATCATCATCATCTCTCCCATCGTTGTCAGCATCACCAGCGCGTCATCAACAACCATCCTCATCGTCATGATGGTCATCGTCACCATCATCTTGATCAGGAACTACCATCACCACAAGCACCGCGACCNNACCCTAAACCCTAAACCAACCCTTCAGCGAGCTTAGGCCATCGACAGCCTCTACCACTTCGACAAGGCAAAGTTCTTCAGAGAAGCGGCCAAGGTGGGAGACTCATCGGTTTCGGCTTTGGATTTGTTGTTGGGATTTTTTGGATTTCGGGATCTACCTATAGTCTCCATTGTAGTTCCTTTTTGGGGATGCTGTCTATATAGTTGGTTGAACCAAAACAACAGGAACTACAATGGAGACTACAGGTAGGGTTTAGGGCTGGAGGGTGGGAAGGAGGGGGCTTGGGTGCTGCAGGTGTAATGGTTTAGGGTTTAGGGTTTAGCGTCTGTCTATGTGCTGTCTGTGGGGCGTAGGTAGATATTCCCGGGCTGTGGAGCTTTGGGGGTTCTGAGATCTCTTGACAGAGATGGGCAGGGTGCTTCAACAAGCAGCTCGAGCTTAATTCCCGAGATTGCATTCGTATTCTTCAGATCCCCTTATGATGATGAGAAGCGATCCTTAGTTGAGGGATCCAGCAGTTGCCCAGACAGGTGCTCAAGATCAGGGAGTCCTTGATCTTCACGGATGTCGTTCTTCGGCCAAACTCACCCGCGTGGGTGCGCGTGTGCCTGTGTGCGATGGACATTCCGATGTCCGGCCACTGGCAGCTTAGCTGCACGTGCGGACTCCGGGGACCGAGTAAGTATCGAGGCAGGCTGTACAGTTAGGACCTAGGACCAGTAGAGCAACGTGTTGGAAACTACTTGGGCCAAATTTATTGAGGGTTTCTTGAGGTTGGGTAGGGTCGAGCGGGAGAGGAAGACCTAGGCAAGCAAATCGAAACCTGTTTGGGCCAGCTCATGTCCAGAAATGGATGCTGAGAGGTCACAGTACGGGTTTCTAGCTTCTCTTCAGTAGTAGGCATTGGCTGGCCCTATAATTGGTTCCTAGAGGGGGGCGGGGGGGTATATTATGCTATAAACTGAAGTATTATGCTATAATGAAAATCAGGAGCCCCCTGGCTTCCAGGGTTCAGCCCCGCGTCCTATCATGCCAAGGACCGAACAGGAACACCGGACCCAGCTGCAGGACTCGCGCGCTTCTGATATATATATATATATATATATGTGTGTATATATATATATATGGATATATGTAAAACAAACATACATATATATATATATATATATTTATATATATATATATATATGTGTATATATATATATATATGTAGTTGCTAGTCATACTGTTAATACTGCGATCACAACTGACATGATAAATAGATGTCGCAGAGACTCAACCCGTTCACGTTTTGGAATGATGCATCGCCGTCAGGAGTTGGGCTGATGTTGACGGGTTAGTTTCCTAAGCCCTGAGCACTAAACCAACCAAGATCTACACCTGCCTTGAGAAGTGGACTCGAAGACTAGGGGTTTGATTTAATTGCCTATGACAAAGGAAACCCTCAGCAATGGTATTACCGATTATGTCAGGCTTCTTGTTTATGCCAGCGGCGCTACAACCGCACACGGTTTTCCAGGTTTTTAACAATCTAAGTTTTTCAGGACCGCGGAGGTTGGACTTCGGTCGTGAATTTGGATCTTGGGTGAAGCTGCGGGGTGGTGGTCGGGGGGGGGGGGGGGGGGGGGNNTTACGATGGCGACATGATGCTCGACGTTGGTGCCATGGTGATGGTGATGTTGACGATGGTGTGATGTGATGTCATGTTGATGGTCATGTTGATCTTGATGATGATGGTGAGTTTGATGATGTCATGGTGATGGTCATGTTGATCTCGGTGAGGAGGATGATGATGATGATGATGATGATTGCCTCCTCAGTCTACTTTAGCTCCCTGATTCCCAGACCTCCTAAGTTGCCTTTAAATCCCTTAGCTTCCTAAACCGCAGCTTCCTATACTCCTTAAGCCCCCAGACCACCTACGTTCCTTGGCTTCCTAAACTCTAATTGTTGTTCGACCTTCCTAGCTGGCTTGATAGATTTGTGTTTCGATCTTGGTAGCTGGTTTGATAGACTATTGTCTTTCGATGTTGGTAGCTGGTTTGATAGACTAGTTTGTTCGAAGGTTTGATAGACTAATTTGTTCGATCTTCGTAGCTGGTTTATAGACTAGTCTGTTCGTATTATTATTATTGTTATTTTCATTATTATCAATATTATCATTATTGCTATTGTTATCATTTATTTATTTTTAACAAGATTAGTCTTGATATGTTTATTGTCATTGGCACCATTATTATTATTGTTCTGCTCATGTTGATGGCGGTGATGATGACATCAACGACCACGGTCATGGTGGTGATGATGATGGCGATGCTGATGATGGTGGTGATGATGATCATGATGATGATGATGATGATGGTACCGGCAGTGCTAGCCAAAACAAGACCTGCAAGCCCGAACACAATGTGCACCCCAATAGATAGCAAGAAATGCGCACGCAGAAACCTCGAGAAAACGCCGTTTTTAATTCGATAAATTCATACTCGGAAATATAGTCCAAAACAAGCGTGTTACCTACACGAAGCGTGCATTTCGACAAAAAAGAGCACGTTCGGAAACAGCGACGGCAGGTTGTGTATGTCAAGCTAATACATTCCCTTTAAGCCTGGACCAGAACCATTCCTGGCCAGACACGGTTTTTCAAACGTACAGCCACCGGCTTACGCGGCTTGCTTTTCGTTTTATCTGTTGGCTTGTGGAGGTTTTCACTTGGCCTCGCTTATGTTGGGATCTAATTAGCAGGTTCATGGATTGATTCGAAACGGCTTCGAAGGTTTCGAGGAATCTGCAGCTTCGGTACTTTCCCTAAGCCTTGAATTTTGCAAAGCCCGAAGCCCTAAGCTGCCTTAAAACCCTGAACCCTAAACCCTAAGCTCCCTTGCTTTTTAAGCTAAAAGCAGTAGATGCGGTACCAGGAAGCCGGCTTCCGCGTGACGTCCTGGAAGTCCTTGGAGCCCTTCGTTCTTGGGCTCTTGCTTATGAAGGCTTTAGGGTTTGCTAAGGCTTTAGGATGTAGTGTAGGGGCCTAGATAATTACCTATACTGTTTTGGGGGTTCCTTATCATAATTATAGTATATTGGGCCCAGGATCAGTTCCCTCGATCGTAAAGTTGGAAGTTAAGCGGTCAAGGGCTTGGTTATGGGCACTGCTGTTGCGGTTTTTCATATATAATTTCAGGTAGAGCAA